CTTCTATAAGGGCTTTAAATGGTGTCTTGAAAGTAATAGTGCTAGAGAGAACCTGATTGATAAAATGGACTATAGATATGAGAGCTTCTCCCTAATAGAACAATGGCATGTGAGCTTTTATTAATGAAGCATGAATTACCTCCAATAAGTGATGATTTTTTCTTTCAACAACCCCATTTTGTTGGTGTGTATGTGGACATGTTGTTTGGTGGATGATTCCATGGGTTCTCAAGTGCTGTTGAAGTTTACAAACTATATATTCTCCATCATTATCACTACAAAGAACCTAAATTTTTGCATTATATTAAGCACTCATCATTTTATAAAATTGCTGAAATAACACTTTTATGTCACCTTTGGATTTCATCAAACACACCCAAGTCACCCTTGTATAGTCATCAATAAAGGTAACAAACCACTGAGATCCACTTAATGTAGGTACCTTAGATGGTCCCCAGACATCTAAATGTATTACCATAAAAGTAACTGAACTTTTACTCAAACTATTAGGAAATGAAGCACGATGGCTTTTTGCAAGTTCACAAACATCACACTTAAAGCTTGAAGTATCATATTTTACAAATAAATTAGGAAATAATTTTTTTAAGTAACTAAACGAGACATGCCCCAATCATCGATGCCATAACCAAATATCTGATGACTTCTTATCTCTTTAAGAACCATTTACTGCCAAGGCTTGATGTAATTTATTTGAACATTTTGATGTCAAGTCAAGGTAGTATAACATCCCTCGTTTGATACCATAACCAATCGCCTGCCTTGTTCGAATGTCCTTAAACACACAAGAGTTAGGCCAAAAAATGACAATACAAAATAAGGCAGTTTGAGAGAAAGACAATAAAATAGAATCTAAACTCAAGTCATTAATGAGAGGCACTAATCTTTCCCTTCTAGCTAGATTTGAAATGCCATTAGCAGTGGAGACAAATTGTTTAGAGGATGGTTTGATTAATGATATTTGACTAGAATCAAATGTCATGTGGTCAGAGACACCAGAATCAATTATCCATATACTATTATAAACAAGTGTATAAACATTAAAAAACTTACCGTTATCATATGAATCCTTCCCATCAGTATTAATTTCACCATGTGTTTCGACAACTGTTGTAGTAGGGGTTGTCATCTTCGATATCTTCTTTCATTGATCGTGTCTATGATCCCACCAGCTCAAAGAATTTGCTTTTAGTATGACCATTTTGATCACAATGACTACATTTGTATGTAGATTTATCAGCCCCATTCTTTTGATGATTATACTTTGTTCTCTCCTGTTGATATTTGCTAAATCAATTTTGGGCCACCATTGCTGTGTTTTTAAAGTGTTTTTTTTCTCTGTTCATCATTGTACGTCAAATGGATTCATGGCGGATTATTGCATAACACTCTTCTAGTTCAGGAACCGGTTCCTTTATCAGAATTTCTCCACGGATTTGTTCGAAGTCATCATCTAATCCAGTAAGAAGGATATACACCCTCTGCTACTGGTCCAGTTTTTTATAGGATTCAACATCTTTCTCACTTTTTATGATCACCTTATCATGGTGATCTAATTCACCAAAGATCTCAGTCAGTTCCCCATAATACACAGATAACGTTTTGCCCCTTTATTAGGTAGATAATGCCTTCTTGTTTAAGGTAAAGACTTGTAACTCATCTGTTCCATCATAGAAAGCTTTAGAGAGAGCTTTCCAAATATCATGAGCAATAGGTAAGCGTAGGTATCTCTTCATTATTTTTGGGGACATAAACATCAAAAACCATCTCTTGATTTTTTATTATTTGCGTACCATTTTTCATATCCCTCTTCTTCCTCAGTAGGTGTATGTGTGCCACGAATAAAGGAGAGTTTCTTCTTCTCAGCAATATGCATTTCAATGATTTGAGACCACATGTCATGGTTTGTTTCATTAAATAGAATCCCTGCATTAAAAAAGGATCCTTCTGATTGCATAATAATTGGACCAAGTTTGTTGCCAGAAGCTTGAACATCTAATCTGTTCATGGTGGTGTTTGTAAAAGAAAAAAGAAGAAGAACCTTTCAAGTAGGCTCTAATACCAAGTTTAAATCACATTTCAAAGTATTAAAAATAGTTTTATTATTTCTCTCTTATTGAATGAGGAATACATGCAAATATATATAGTACTGGATAAACCAACTAGATCCTGCAATCAAGTTATTCTACCTATACTATTACTCCTATATTTAGAAAATAAATAATATTGTTCCTATAATTAATCTATCCTACCATATATATTAATACTAAGAAAGAAAAGAATTCTGCAGAATAAGAAACCCGCAGAAAGGAAAAAAATCATAAGAAAGAGGAAAGAATTAGAATATTTCAACAGCTTTACTCTACTCTTCTTTTCACTTCCTATTTTGTTTTCACTTGCCTATTACTCAACAAAATCTCCATCTTGTTACCCTTTGAATAGAAGAGAAATGAGGGATAGTTTTGGCATTAAACAACCAACTTTTTTTCACTTCTGCAACCAATGTTACTAATTTGAAAAGCTTAAAGAATAAAAGGTAGATTAATAGTAGGGTGATAATTTAATCTGAATATGATGGATACTAATCTAAACTGACCTGAATAAATGGTTTTTTTTGTATAATTATTTTACCTAATAAATAATAAATAATATTTAAGTAATCTCAAACCTGACCTGAAACTCAAAACCCGACCTAAACCTAACCCACCCGATCCAAGTCTAACATGGGATATATATTTATATTAAAAAGATATACATGTAGAATATTTTTTTCTTGAATCAATACACACACTCACACTTTGAATATTTATTTTTTATTGAATAATAAATGACAGTCGAATAATGAATATTCAAATGGATAATTGAAACTTGATGGATATGGTATGAAAATTTAAATTTTTTACTTGATGAGTAATAAGAAGGGTATTAATATAGACAACTTGACCCGTAGATACTCACCATCATCCCTAATTTTAATTTGTAACATATGAATAAAAACATTGTTCATTGAAACAATATTTTAATAATCCAGCCTTTTACATCAAAAACTTTAAAACCATTTACACCAAAAACTTTAAAACCAATTACTAGGGGCATTTTTTTTTTTTTAAAAGATCCATTAATCACTAATTGAATAGGGATAAAAAAGTTTTTTTTCTCCTATTTCAATTGCATAGTGAAAATATCAAAATACTATTGGAAGTAAAAAAATTAAAATAAGCATCAAGTGGTATTTTTATATTTTTCATAATGGTTTTGTAGTTATTATCATGTTAACTAAGGAAAAATTCAATATTTGACTAAATATAGAAAATTAAACAAAAACAAAAAGTATTGTGAAATGACCAAAATGCCATTAGAGGCCAAACAATTAAAAATGACCTTAAGTGCTTTTTCATCTTTTTACAACAGTATTTTTTGTTATTATCAAGTCAGTTGAGGGGAAACTTGATATTTAAACAAATATAAAAAATAAATAGAGAAAAAAAGGTTGGGGTGTATGTGGTGCACTTTTCGGCGTGTGAGAGGTGTTTATGCCCTATGAGCTATACGTACGACGACTTCTAACATCCAAAAATACCCTTTTACCATGTCATTAGAAATGCCACTATCTTTTTTTCGGTAATATAGTGTGTGTTGGCGGTAATGGCCGGTTTCTCATTGGTGCACTTTTTTCTCCTTTCTTTTCTTTCTCCTTCCATGAAAATTACACCTTAGCTCTTTTTACTGTTGGTATTCCAACACCAATCCTTAGTCTTTTGATTCATAATTTTTGTTTTTGTTCTTTTTGTAGAAGTTTTATTTATTTCTAATTTCATCATTAAATCTCAATTTACCATATTTTTTTAATTTGGTCCTCATTCTTTTGAATTTTTTTTCTTTTGTTGAATTGATTTATCTTTTCAATCTCACCCTTCAATTATTTTTTATTTATTTTAATTTCAATCCCCATTCTTTTGATTATTTTTTTATTTAATTATTTTTCTTTTCAATCTCATTCTTCAATCAAAAATAAAATTTATTTTGTATTTCAATTTTAATCCTCATTCTTTTAATTGATTTTTGTTGTTGTTGTTTTGGATTCTTTTATATAATTGATATTATTTTTTCAAGTTAATCCTTCAACATTTAATTGGTTAGGATTTCATCTTTATGATTTTTCTAGATTTGGTCTAATATCCTAAGTCACAAGTTTTAAAAGATAACTCGGGTTAACATTGTTTTTATACTTATTTTCTTTTTAGTTTTGTGATATTTTTATTTATTTTTTCATTAAAAATTCTAGTCTCATAATGTGGATCATGAATTTAATAAGTTAACCCGAATTAAATATTCATCTCTTATTCCACAAGTTAAATATGTGAAGTGATTAACCTGGACATGAAATTAAATGCAATATATAATTTAATCTGCATAATATCTATTTTAATGATAGAAATAATCGTTTGATTGCTCTGAACTACCAATAGGTATGCATGCAATTTGACATATTTGTTGATAAATAAATTCTCATTGATCCTTAGACACCTTCATAGTGTTTTATATATGAGGAACCTTATGGCCTAACTTTAGAAACCTATACAATTTTATCAGAAATAAGCCCTTCTAAAAATCAAATTTATTGGACTTATGATATACATACTCCCCTGTATTAAACAAAAATTGCAGATAAGTTAATCAACACGAATTTAATCAACAAGAAATCTTTCTGTGCCACGTTTTTGTCACTAGCACGTAGGCCATTTAATGGAGGGTAATTGTTTTTCCTCCTCTAGTTGTAAATTCATTTTGACCAAGAAGCATATAGAAGAATCCGCACAATCCTCCTGTCCATGTATTTCTTCAAGCCCTTCACACCCCTGTGGACCATTTATGCTTGCCTATCTTCCTCGCTCTTTACAATCCTTTCACACCCTCTTATCTTCTTCACCGGCAAGGCTATCTGGACAAAACAAGAGCTTGTTTTTATTGTATGAATAACAATGAATGTATCAGAAACTGATCTCAAGTTAGTGTGCCAAGCAATTGTTAGTGAGAGATCAAGAGGGATTTTTTATGGTGACATTCCACTTGACCATGCAACTCCAACGGTTTTGGCACAACTCAGCTTATCTTCTTTATTCAGTGCCTTGACACAATACATTCTCACCCCACTTGGTGAAAGTGCTTTCATTTCAATGCTGCTGGTAAACTCTTTTTTCTATTTTTTTTCCCCTGCAAAAAAGAGTCTAAAATCCTTCCTCTAGTAATGTTAGTACAATTAATTTCTGCAGGCAATGTGGTTTCTTCAGGTATATAACTCAGTTTATGTCTTTGATATGATCAGGTAGGATTCGCCCTGGGACCAACTCTCTGGGGTGATAATCATTCCTTCTTGTCAAAAGTGTATTCAGCGAAAAGTATCAACGTCAGTGCAACATTTGCCTTCTTTGGATGCATTCTTTATCTATTTTTGCTTGGAATAAAATTGGACCTGGGAATGGTAAAGAGAGCAGGAAGGAAAACCGTGGTTATAGGCTTCTTTACTTTCCTTTTTCCGATAACATTGAACTTAATCGTGGCTGAAATTTTAACCACAAATATGGAAATGGAACCATATCTACATGATTGTGTTCCTTACATTGCAGTTTTTCAATCTGTTACCTCCTTTCATGTCATTGTCTGCCTCGTCACTGATTTGAAGCTCATAAATTCGGAGCTTGGCCAGTTAGCAATATCTTCATCAATGATCAGTGGCACTTGTAGTTGGTCCCTGACTTCTTTTTTCTTACTCATAGATCGAGAGGAAACTCATGATTTGATTGCATTGATTTTAATCTTTGCAATATTGCTGGTGATAATCATATTCTTTCTATTAAGGCCCTTAATGACTTGGATGAATGGGAAAACATCAGAAGGAAAACAGGTCAAAGAGACGTATGTTATCTCCATCTTTATCATGCTGTTAGGATGTGCATTCCTGAGTGAAGTTTTTGGGCACCATGTGTTATTTGGGGCTGTTGCTTTGGGCATGGCAGTGCCACATGGTCCACCATTAGGATCAGCACTAGTCAACAAGATTGAATCATTTGTTTCTTCCATTCTCCTGCCGAGCTATTTTGTGTTCAGTGTCGCTGGTGTCAACATACTTTCGATACATATGAAAACAGTTACTGTTGTCAGTATATTTGGTGTAAGCAGCTTCATTGGGAAACTTTTAGGTGGCATGTTGCCTGCACTCTACTTCAACATACCTCCAGTTGAAGCATTTTCATTAGGCCTTGTAATGAGTTGTCAAGGCGTTTCGGATGTCCTGCTCATGCAGCACGGCAAATTCCTCTCCGTAATGACCTTTATCCTATTCCACTACTGAACTGTATGCATTCCCTTACTTCTTATCAATGACTGCCTCATATTGTGCATAAAATAACATGTTTCTGCTTTACTTGTTGCAGCTTCTTGACACTCAAATATATAGTATCATGGTCATCAACATGCTTTTTTTGTCAGGGACCTTCACACCGATAATCAAATTACTCTACGATCCATCCAAAAAGTATGCATCCTGCCAAAAAAGAACAATCCAACATACTAATCTCCACATGGAGTTCCGCATTCTGGCCTGCATATATCACCAAGATTCCACCCCTTGTATCATTAGACTTCTTGAAGTAACCAATCCAACAGCCAAGACTCCCATGTGCTGTTATGTAGTCCACCTGATCCAGCTCACGGGCAGTTTAATCCCACTCCTTGTGCATCATGAGCCAGGAAAAAGTGCGAAATTCCATGCTAAGGATTCTAGTCATATCATCAATGCCTTCAGATTATACGAGCAAGAGTGCAATGGGAATGTTGTTGTCAACTTATTCACATCCATATCGCCTTTTTCCACCATACACGAAGAAGTTTGTAGGCTTGCTGCAGAGAAGAGCACATCATTGGTGATCATCCCATTTCACAAGCAATGGAGACTTCACGGGATAGAAAACATTGCAGAAGCCAGGTCTGTTAATCGTCACATTCTGGAGAAGGCTCCATGCTCCGTAGGAATCTTGGTCAATCGAGGCACCTCAAGTGCCTCCAAAAATAATAATTTATACGACATCGGAATCTTTTTTGCTCATGGAAGTGATGATAGAGAAGCATTAGCATACGGTTTGCGAATGGCTAAACACTCTAAAGTTGCTCTCACCGTGATCCATTTGATCGATCTAGCCAGAACAAGCCAGGATTTTCATGAGATGGAGCTTGACAATGACATTATCACCGAATACAAGATCCAATCCGCAGGAAAAAGGCAACATTCGTACAGACAGGAATCCGTAAACGATTGCGTAGAATTGATTAGGCTGATTACATCTATCGAAAATTCATTTGATCTAATTTTGGTGGGCAGATCCTATGGCAGCTGCTCACCATTGTTTGAGGGACTTACCCAATGGAGTGAGTTCCCAGAGCTGGGATTCATGGGAGACATGCTAACATCATCAGATTCCCAGTGTCAGGTTTCTGTGCTTGTGGTGCAACAACAAATTTCTAGAGCTTAAGACAGGATTAATAGTGTAAAAAACCTGTTGGAAGGTTCAGCAGAAACTGTAAAAATAATTGGTGATTCTAACAAATGGTGGAATGCCATAGAAAATATAGATAAAGAGGGAACATGAGTTGATATTTCAGGCTATAGGAAAATTTTGTTTTGGAAAGAAATTTAATTGATGTTGTATATTTGCTAAATATGAACTAGGAATTAATATTCAGTATCAAATTTGATATTAGGTTCTTTCATTTTCCTTTCAATGTGAGTTGTTCTTTCAGGAGTTAATGTTGCTACTTGCTAGCAATCAGGAATACCCGATTTATGCTCCAACCTCGTTACTTTTAACCAAAATTATTAAACACATCTTGACATATGGCACACCTTTAGATTGAGGTCACGGATTGTGTAGAATAATTCTAGTTGGTTCTATTCAATTAAAACAATGTTATTTTTAAAAAAATAAAGTAAAATGTTAAACCAGATTTTATAAGGTTACACAAATTATAAACTAACCAACTTAACTCTTGTTTAATGATGATTTCACTGAAAAGATTGGAGTTGCACTAAGCAATTAAATTCAAACTCAAGAAATAACTTTGGATAATAAAAGATTCATGAAAATGGGAGTGGAATAATTAAGTGTATGATATATCAAACAAAAATCAATTAAGGCTGGTAGGCCTAAACATATATAATATATTGTTTTGTCTTATGTTTATGGAGAGTGGGAATAGGGAATCCATGTGAGGATTGAGTTATCCGATGTAACATTTTGGGGGGTTTGCCAGCTTTTTTTCCTTTATTTTTATGTGGCTTGGAGTTGTCACTGTTTGGGTACTTCTGGATTCATATGCAATGACTATTATTAATACTAGGAATTGGAGTTTATGTCCTTCCATCTAACAAACTTAATATTGTTTCTCTTTCTTGCAATATTTTTAAGCAAAAGATTCATGGAAATTTGTAATTTAAGTATTTATTATAAAACTAATGACTTAGGTTATAAATTGAGGAAATTAACATAATTTACAATAGCATTGTTTTAAGATTTAAAATAAAAATAATATTATTAATTCTTTTTAAATTAAATCAGATTTTATTCAAGTTTTAATTAGATCAACGTGATGACCTATTGACCTGCTAGACTGAACCAGGTTTAATAGCTAATCATTCAAATCATGATTTAGATGAATATATATAATTAAGTTATCTCTTAATTTGTAGAATTAAGTAGAAGAAGGGCACCACAAATAGCAAGCATCGTATTCTTAAGTTGATAAAAATTAAAACTTCGATATATTCAAACATGAATTTTCTAATAGATGTCCTGAACAGAAGTGCTATTTATAGCCCCTTAATGATGTCCTGAACAAGTTCATAGCCCCTTAATGATGGAATCTTTAGTATATTCCACCCCATCAATAAATTGATTCTCTATGAACTTGTTTGAAAATAATGGAATTAATTACTCTGTGAATTTATTTGGGAAAGATTAAATCAATAACTCTTTGAAAAATTAATTATCCACTTGAAATATAAATATTAAATTCATATATAGTAAACTTGTCTTCTCCTTCACAAATGGATGCCCGATTGTACAGTAACTTGGAAACAAGTGTACGTAAGAGCTGGTAATTAATCATCATCCTTGAGATGCAATCTACTGGCTTTTTAGAAATTGTTGTCTAATATTCCCTCTATTGGTTGGCTTTAAATGCCTTACATTGGCCAACACATTTGGACTCCAGCAAAATCATAGTTTATTCACATATATGATGATGGTCTCCACTACAGCGTGCATCAGTGCTAAGTAAATTTATGCTCTTAATTCAAATAATCACAACTGGTCTCCACCCTAAGTAGCAAGCCACTTGATTTGTTTAGCTAATAGACAATTAATGCCCTTGAATCTTCCTTGATGAATGCTTTATTAGCTGTAAGATTGTTGAAGTCAATTGTATGTCACGTACAATAGGACAAAAATTAAGTTGAAACTAAACATCTAGCTATATGTTAATCATTGAAGTGGCCGAGACATTTCATGTTAATCTTTGAGGAAGTGCCCATAACCTTAAACATGTTGACATTGAGCCATACCAAAGTTATTAAACAAGATTAATGCATAATTAAAGGTGTTTTGGATGCATAAGTTATAAGAAAAGAATCATGACAAGCATATGTTGCAGTTGATTAATTATAACATGATCGATGGAGTATATCTAAATTATAGTATTTCCTTGAGAAATTGAATACATGTTGTATGTGTAGATCATTCATAACTTGCTTAGATTTGTCATTTGTGATCTATACGAAATCAATTTGAGCAATGGATTTTAACTCCTCCAAAGTTGTCTTGCTCTCTATCAATGGATTTGAATCATTTCCCTTGTGTTTAGTTTCTTGTTTTGGAACTCAAAATCGATGAAAGACTATGGAACAATCTCTTCTAGCTGCGAATAATCAAAGAGTAATTAATCAATCTCTTTGTCAGGACAACAAATCCCACCAAATTATTTCAGATCATATATTAAAACAAAAATCGAGAAATTTAAGAAACATGTATTTTTTTGTGAATAAAAAGATGTATTTACTTGGGAATTGTGGATGCAAATGCGAAATATTTCATCATCACAAACTTTTTTTCTTTCTTCATCAAATAATTTACTTGAACATTAAAACAAACGGATCGTGATCCGATGAATATTGAAATCCTCAACCTGCCATTATTATACGCAGATCGAAGAAGGAAAACTAAAATCAAAATATAAAAATTTATACACAAAAAAGAGGAAAAAGGAAAAACTATTAACCCCACCACGTTCAGCAGAAAACGTCCCCGTTGCAAATAATTGCACCCTCTTGCCTCCTCTGGGGAACGTCAAAATCCAGAACCGGACAAAACTTGATAGTCCTCGGAGATGCTTTGTAAATGAGGCCGCCATACTCTGACACGACTGGTCCGGCGATCACGACGAGAGGGTTTCTTTTCCGAGACTAAGTCGTTTAGGTGACGATCACAATCTTGTACATCCTTATTAATGTTGCAATATTTTTTGCTTTTCTTTGATGAAGACTTGCTCTTGTGGCTACAATTATTACCACCTTTTTTCTTCTCACCGGGCATTGAAGAAGATGGAATCAAGAAATATATGCTGCCTCTTTTGAGCTCGGATTCCGGGGAGAGAATCAAGATTTTTCGAACAACACTTTGAGAAGAAGGTTTGCTTAGAACATGATTAGGGTTTGCCTTAAGGACTTCAGCAGCTGTGATTGGACCTGTGATTTCTTCTACGTGGCCATTCAAATGAACTACTCGGATCAAGTCTAGAGCTCCACAAGGAAGAACACAAGCCAAACAACACCTTAAGCTATTGCCCATTTCTATGGAAATGAACTCTCTTTTGTGGTGTGTGGAGTTTGGAACTCTTTTTTTTTGCCTCTTTTCTTCTTCTTTCTTTGTCAAGAATGCGATCAAGGGAGGACAAGGTTTTATAGGAACAACCGTGCTACCCATAAAAAACAAAGTAGAATGTGCATTATTTTATTTTGGATTGACAATGAAGAAAGTGACCTAAAATGAGTGATCTTTTAGTTAATATATATTGCTAATTAAGTAGTTGAGAGTTCCAATGGTCAAAGCCCTTTCTTCTATATGGGTTTAGTTAAGTTTCCATTGATTACTTGTTTTAATTATATCTTTAAACTCACTTTCACGTAAGAACATTGCATCATTTCTCTTGTTTTTACGAGATTGATTCAAGTGATTAGAAAAATAACCATTCACTTTGAAGGTCATTCTAAGTTATAATCTCGATCCTTTGTCCTTTAAATTCCAAACGAAAATGAGAACATAAGTTTAAACAATGAGCTCACTTGAGTTAAATTATTATTAAATAATAATATAAATTATATTTTAAAATCTCATTTAACTATTTAAATATTTTCTTGATATAATTATACCTAATTTAATACACATCAAAATCAAAGTCACTATTTTCCATGTTCCTGGACTTTATTTTGTTATTTCCCTTCTCTCATAGATCCAAACTAATTGGGTCATTGATAAAGGGAGTAAATTATTAAATGCTGGTTGACACTTGACACCTTTACCATGCATGAAACTGTGGTTATTCCTCCATTTATATAGTTAAATCCGACACAGAACTCTATAAATGGTGAAAACTTCGGCTGAATTATTTTGTTTAAAATATATTTTTTAAGTTACATCGCAATTGATATTCACCCTTTTTGTTTGTATCTATAGTACTTGTGTTCAGTGAAAATCGTATATTAATTAACTTTAAATTTTTTAATTAAAAATCATATTTTAATTAACTTTAAATTTTTTAATAATGTTTTGACATTTCTCTATATCAAAAAATCATCTTAAATCAATATTTAAACTCTTAGGTAATTTCTTAGAATATGATCTATATTATTCTCTAACATATTTCCTTTAGTGAAAATCTTTTGGACTTGAAACTTATATAAGCTCACATTACTTTGTGCTTAATTTTTATCAAATAAATAATAATGATGAGATTCAAACTTATTGATCATCAAGACTCTGATACCATGTCAAAGAACCATCTAAATCCAATATCTTAAACTGTTAGGTGAGGTACCAGGATATGATTTATATTATTCTCTAAAACAACAGGATATGATTTATATTATTCTCTGAAACTTTAAAAATAACAATGATTTTTTATTTTTCACTAAAGAATGATTTTAATTTATATTATTCTCTAAAACTTTTAAAAATAACAATGATTTTTATTTTTCACTAAAGAATGATTTTATTGTCAATTTTTGAGATAATTGGATTCACATGTATCGTGTTATTTTTCTTTTAATAGTTGTTTTCTTATATGATGGACATATTATGGTATAATATGGATACAAATTAGGTTTCTTATTAAACTAAGTTTGGGTTAAGAGGTTAGTCTAGATTAACTTATATAAATTAAAATAATATTTTTTTAAAAAAAGTTAGATTTTATTGGATTATACCCAAAATTAAAATAATATTTTTTTTTTTAAAGTTAGATTTTATTGGATTATACCCAACTAAGGCAAGAACTTGTGTTTCAAATGAGTGATTCAGAGAACGTTTGGGAACGCGTTGAAACCGTGTTTTCTTAAATTTAAAAAATATTAAAAATTAATTTTTTATATTTTTAAATTGTTTTAATGTGTTGATGTTAAAAATAATTTTTAAAAATTAACAAAATAATATTTCAATATTTTTTTTTTAATTTTAAATCGATATTGGTATCACAATTTAAGTCTAAAATTATCAAATGTAAAGGAGGGTATTTTTGGCAAAGACATGCATAGCCTTCAATCGTTAATTGATTTAACAATTGTAGGTCAAGTACAAATACGGTATTTATGAAATAATTGGTCCCGCAGCGTCAGCCAATAACTAGTTAATTATTACGAATATAGGAAGGAATGAAACTTAGGCACATCAATGGAAATTAAAATAATGGCCTAACACTGAAAATCAATTATTATTAGGTACGGAATGACAATGCAAGAGTACATGTTACATTCTTGGGAGTGTGTTTTATAAGCTAACCTTTTGTGAAATAAAATAAGATAAACTATATGTTTTCATCCCCGTAGATTTAACAATAATCCATGTTGTTCTTTGTAGTTTAAGATTTCTTAATTACCAATCGTAACGTTTCAAAAATATTTAAATATTCGACCCTCTTTTCAATCACTTTTTTAATATATTTGTAAGTGTTTTATTGGACACATCCACATGCAGGGATTTAAATGAAACTTAAAAATAAAAAAAAAAATAACATGAAAATATGAGAAAAATGAATAAGTATACAGTTTCGTTTGGTTTTGTTAAGCTATGTTTGGTTAGTATTTTAAAATAAAAAAACATAAACATGTTTAGCTGGAAAGACTTCAACAAAAACATAAAACAAATCAATTTCTATAATATTTTTAGAGTGAATTTTTATTATTTTAAAACAAAAGATGTTGTTGTTACTTATTTTTGACCCCTACATAAACAAAATAAAATAAAAAAGAGAAAGAGAAAATACAAAAAAATAAAAAATGTTGGGAGGATATATATATATGAGAAAAGTATACTAAAACACCCCGGAAATGATCAAAACTGGTTTAGAAAAATTAAATATATAAGATTGAAAAATTTAGCAGTGTATTTTTAACTATTGAATATTTTATTGGCAAATAAAATTTAATTTGAGAAGAAAAATTTAAAATTAAATATTTAAGGACTCAAGTGGAAGCTTTTAAGGTTTAATTGAATTTATTGATAGCTTAATTGCAAGAAAATTGATTTTTAAAATTAATTTAGGTTTTAATGGGAAGAAATTAAAGTATGAGGGTTGAATTGTAATTTTTAAGAGTTAATTTAGTTAAATCGAATACTTAATTGTATGAATATAGAAGTTTTATGGGTAATCAGAAACTTAATTGAAGAAATTTAAAATCAAAGATCAATTGAAAAAGGTGGGTGAATATAGGAGTTGAAATTGACCAAATCAGGGATCAAATTAAAAAAAAATGTTTATTAATCAATTAAGGGTCTAAATGCACAAATTCAGAACCAAGAACTAAAATAAAAATAAGGTAAACTTAAGAGTTAACAATTGAGTTTGACAGGGGTGACATTGCATAAAATTAAAAGATTTGAGGCAATTATAAATATAATTAAAAACAATTAGAAGAATAAGGATTCAATTGATATTTGTTAATCCCAAATTTAAAACCTTAAACGACATGTCATTTAAACTTAATGAAGGGAAGATGAGTGACACATTATTCATCAGTTGGGCACCTCTATTTAGATAGTTTTAGTCGAGTGAGTTAGCAACTTCAAATGAATAAATGTGAAGTTATAGACTATCAAATTGAGTAAGATTGAATTCAAATAAAAGGTATATATTTTCTCTACCAATTTCAAATGGTCTCAAAAAATAATGATGTTATAATTTCTTTTACAAGGTTTCGAAAATGGACAACTCAGTTAGCTCTAACAATAAAACTAGTATGTAAAGAATGACATGCTTTTTTAGTATTCCCACTTAAAGGTTTCTCAATGAATTATAGAGGTGCTAATAACTTTCCTTTACACAATTAATTTTTCACCTAAAATCTTTGAAAAATAAATAATTAGGATTTCTAATAATTATAATACTAGTAGCCACTTTTTAATCAACCTAAAAACCTAAATTATAGAGGTGCTAATAACTTTTCTTTACACAATCAATTTTTCATCTAAAATCTTTGAAAAATAAATAATGAGGATTCCTAATAATTATAATACTTGTAGCCACTTTTTAATCAACCTAAAAACCTCCAAGACCCTTCTAAAAAGATTCATCACAATGTCATGCTCTCATGATAAGGATATAATAGATATAAAAGTTATATCTTATTTGTATATATTATTTTAATTTTTTATATCTCAATACAATAATTAGACAATATATTAGATATTAATTTGATGCTAGTGTTCCAAGGCTAAAATGCATAATTACTAAATTATATGTAGTGTGAGTTCTGGCTAGGATGTGTGTATCATTGAAGCAATGCTGGCAAGGATACATGCATGCCCTGGCCCTTAATTTGACTTCCTAACCATTGTAGTTTTTAGCAGTAGGCAACTATCATGTATGCTATTAGGATATATTTATTTTTGTGTTTTAAAAATATTTTAAAAAAGGTTTAATTTTTTTATTTTTTATTTATTTTAAATTAATATATTTTGTGTTTTTAAATTATTTTAATATGTTGATGTCAAAAATAATTTTTTAAAAATAAAAAAAATTATTGACATGTATTTTAACATAAAAATTATTTAAAAAACAACCACAACCACATACCCAAACAATCTCTTAAAGTCACCTCAAATAAGATGTGATTGAACTAAAATTATAGCCCATTCTGATTTTATTCAATCCTTATATCACTGGTTCTAATCAATAATTAATTATATTGGCTCTATTTTTTTTTCTTTTTACTTGAGAAATTATAATGGATGACACAAAAAAAAGATTATTAAACCATCTTGGAGATAAAGAATGAAAATAAAAAGAAAAAAGAAGCAGCTATTTTCCTTCAATTTGTATTGCCTGCCAAAAAGGAAACAAGCAAAAAAATTAGGCTAATTGTTTGGAAGATATAGGAATAAAAGGGTATATAAAATCAATAAAAATATATTTAATTAGAGAATTAAGATAAAAACAATAAATAAATATAGTTGAAGATTTAAGGTTGTGTTTGGTTACTTTATCAGAATAAAAAAGACATAAACATATTTGCCTCAAAGATAAAGACTAAAATATAAAATAAATATATTTAATAATTTTAAAATAATTTTTTTAAAAAAAAAAAGATATACGAGAACACGTTGCTCCTGTCTCAATCATCCTTGTCTTTTATGTGTTGAGA